ATGCCCAGCCTGGCCCCGGGCCCGGGAGGGGTGCCCGGAGCCCCGGGAGCGGCGGCACAGCCGGACTCACCCACAGCCGCTGGCCCTGCGCCCCGGGGATTTTAACTTTTTATACCGATACCGCAACTAGTGAGAAAGTCTCCGCTGGTGCTGGTGGGACGTGGCTGAGCCCAGACGCCGATGACCCCGGGGGAGCGGGGCTGGGGTTGGTGCCGCCCCGGACGGTGCAGGTTGGTTGGATTTATGGAGCCGGTAAAGACGAGAGCGAAACTGCACCGAAACCCTGCTCCTCTTCCTCCTCCTCCTTCACCAGGTGTCCCACCCTGCTCCTCTTCCTCCTCCTCCTTCACCAGGTGTCCCCCAGGGCACCCAAACTTCTGCTCTCTCACCCAACTCATCTTCTTCATCCTCTGCTGGGTTTCTGTTCTGGGTGGCCACGCTGGGTGCTGGGGAAGGACTCTGGTGGCCGTGTGACAGCAGGATGAGGGGACAGAGGGGACAGCAGGACCGAGGGGACAGCGGGACAGAGGGGACAGCGGGACAGAGGGGACAGTGAGCTGCAGCCCCCACGGTGCCATGGCAGGGGCTGCTCTGCCCCCAGCACCTCCTGGCATCTCACAAACCAAACCACGCCAAGCCCAGGGGCGCTGGGCCAGCTCTGTGGCAGTGTCCCCGAGCCCTGGCTTTGTGTCCCCTGTGCTGCCGCTGGGGCTGAGCTGCCTGGGGGATTCGGGCATGCTTGGGCTGGGCCAACACACCTGCATGTGCTGCTTTGGTGTCTCCACTCCAGCCAGGGCAGTCTGGGGTCCAAGCCCTGTCTGTCCTGGCCAGGACCTGCTGTCCTTCCCCTCCCCACGGCTCGGTCACACCGTTAAGGCAGCGGGTTCTGCCTGTCCCCCCCTGTCCCCCAGGGCCCCCTGGCAGCTCCAGCCAGCCCTGACTCTGGACCCCCTGTCCCCATGGCTTCCCCTGTGGCAGAGGTGCACAAACCCCCAAACCTGGCACCACCTCCAGATGTGTTCTCCATCTACTTTTGCACATTCTACAGCATCGATGTGGAAAGGGTTTGTTTGACTGCCAAGTGAATAACTGAGTCGTTAACTTTCTATGTTCATATCTTACAATTGCAATGTGATTTTTGTTTGTTTTGTTTTTTTAGCAAGGAGCTTGTAAAGCACAACATGGCCATGAAATCCCATCAGCTTCCCAGCTGAATGGTTTATTGCCATTAACTTTCACTGCCCCAATACACCCCCAATCAATGTTTACAAAGAAAAGAAACAAAGAAAAACCAAGCCAAAACCTGTTAAAATGTGTTTTAAAGAGCTGGGGAGATGCCCCAGCCTATGGGGGTGTGCTGCCCATCCTGCCCGTGGCCCAGAGGGAGATGAGAGATGCCCAGGGTAGGGCCAGTGCCAAGGCTGGTGTCACCTCCAGAGGGTGTTGAGAGGGACCTGCTGTGCCTGGATGAGGTTTAGGGTCCATCTTTGATTTTTTTTTATTGTTGTTTTTCCCTGAAGTGCCAGGCAGGAGCCCCTGAGAGGTGGTGGCACATCCCAGGCTCAGAGAGGTACCACAGGTGCACCCCTCCCACCCTGCTGAGCTGTGGGCACAAACAGAACTGTCTTTAAAGCTTTTTGGAGTTGTTTTGATGGATTTTTAATGATTAGTTTTGTTTGGATAAGGCAGGCACATGTTTTATTTATTTCTTTTTGTAGTTTCACATGCCAAATCTGTCATTTCAAATGGAAAAAGAAGCTGTAGGGTAAGAAGTGGGTGTGGTTGAAGTACAAAAGGACACTTGGGCTCTGTGTTAACTTGAAGCCTCAGGATGCTCAGATCATGGAGTGTAAATGTATTTTAAGTGTCTGTATTTAATATGGATCATTTTCCAAACCCCACTTCCCTTTCAAGGGAGTGTGGAACAAAGCAGTATTACAGGTTAAAAAAACCAAACCAGCAAACAAACAAAAGCCCAGACCCCAAATAAAGAAAGGTGTGATTGTTTGCATTTATTTACTGAGAACATACAATTTTTATGATTTGTTTGTTTGGCTGTGAGCTGTGTGTGAGAGCGCAGGGAAAGCGAGCACAGCTCCTCAGGTCAACCCTCCCATGGCAAAAAAAAAAAAAGAAATTTCTTTTAAAAACCCTTAATTTACTTAAAATTTCACCCCTAGCCCTGAGCAGCCAGGTCAGCTGTGTGGCCAAATCCAGGGTCTGTGTTCCAGAGGCTCCACTGGCCGTGGTGTTGGGTCCCTCCTTCCTCAGCGGGCACACACAGCTCCCCTAAACCGAGGAGAAAATGATCCCAAGAGGAAACCACACACCAAAAGGACTGAAGCCTCTGTGTGGTTTGTGATATTGTCCAAATGCCCTCGATATTCCTGTATTTGATGCTTCTGTTTGTCCAGTGTACAAGATCCCTGCATTTGAAGCGGAAGCTCCGTGTACAAACCCTCGGCGTTCCTCCTCTGGTGTAAATTTCCAGCCTCCCTTCCCATGGGATGGGGAAAACCCTGTAAATACTCACTTGTGGGCAATGCAAGTCTGAGAACCAAGGGTTCATTTTTCTAATTCCTTAGCCTCAGTTACAATACTAATGTAAAAACAAAAGCAGTTTATTTTTCTAATGGTCCTGGAAACGTCGATGCAGCGACAGAATCGCTGAAAGGGCCCACGGGGAGAGGGGCACAAGGAGCTTCCGTGGGAAGAGGAGAATGGTTATTGCTTCCAAGCATGGAAAAATCCCATTTTCTGGAGGAAATAGTTGTGTTCCAATGCAGAGACCTGGCAGGCCCTGGGGGATGCAGAAACGAGGACAGCTGGGATATTTTGGGGTTTTCCAGCATCGGCTCCGGCGCATGTTCCGTGTCCACTAACGGTTTGATACGCTCAGTATGGACTAAATCCACATATCCTGCATTAAACTCAACTACTCAAACCAATGTTATGAGTATATTTATTTCCTGTTATACCCCTTTTTATTTAACCTCTATAGAACAGGACATTTTTATTCCAAGCTCAGCTCCTGCATGGATTTTTATCAGCAACAGCAACTCCCGTCTTTCCTCTCGGAGACCGAATTCCGGGAGCTGCTCTGCTGGGATGCAGCCAGCCAAGGGGAGAGGGTTTTGTACAATTCTTGTGAAGATGCTTCACATTTCTGTAAAGATAAATGAAAATAAAAGAGCTGCATGCAGCAACAGGAGACACTGCTGTCTGATTTTTCTTTTTTTCCTGGAGTTTGTTTTACAATCCATGGGAAGGTGTGGTTTAAGCTGAGGTTCAAGGGAGCTCTTCCCAACTTTTAACATTTTAATTTCATTTTCAAGCTCTTTGTGCACACCAGGCACAAAGGGTTTGGTGTGGTAGAAGAGCTTTTAAAGATTATTTGATTTATTTATTAAATCCTAATTTCTGTGATTTAATAAATGCATTAAATCTTGTAGGAATTTAAGGGTGTTTTTTTAAATGATGTTTAGCTAAGTTCATGTTCTTCTACCTCCCAACACTCCAAAATTTGTCACTGGCTCCAAAGTTTCCAAGAATTTTAGGAAAAGTCCCAACATTTCTAGAGCATGCTATGCTCACACACAAAGGTTTTAGCTTGGACATCAAATGCAGGTAAGCAGAGATTGTTTTTATTCAGAATTTTAGGCAAATACTGTAAAAAATCTATTTATTCAAAATCACACAGAAGGACACAAACAATATCCCTTAAATAGGGAAGATAATTCTGGGCTGAACATGTATGTGAGGAAGTTGGAAGTAAAAGGGCACCAGGAAGCCAAATCCCTGCTAAATTACTTTTTAATTATTGGCTTTAAACCAGACAAATCTGTACAAGGAGAACAAAATCCTCTTGATCTTCCAGGACATCCGAATTGCAATGATTACACCCAAAATAAGGGAATTTTAACACACCAAGAGCAGCTCTCACTGAATAAAAACCCATCCAAGGCTGCAGAAAAGGATTTAATGCTCTGCACAAGGGCATTTCAGCACTTCCCAGCAGTGGATTCTTCACTTTTTTCCTCCTTTTCCACCTTCCACAGCAGCAGACACAGTAAAGAAGAGGAAATAATTCTGCAAAATGAACCAAAATTCATTCAAATATTTGCCCCAGTTGAGGAAAATCAGCTTCTAACACTGAAAATCCCTTGCAGCAGAGAAAAAAAAATCTAGAACACCGAAATATACATTAAAAATAATGGGGTTAGCGTGGCTGGGAAACAAAAAGGAAACCAAATCTGGGAAGGGTTTTTAAATTTTGCTGTAAATTCAGTTTTTATGGTTTTTCCCTGGAAGACAGAGTCAAAAGAAAGAGGTTTTCCTTTGCTAAAATTTCCAGGTAATGCCACAATAATTTGGGGAGGTTTATGGGTTTCAAACCATTCTTTCAAGTGCCTCATTTGAATTTTAACAAATGCTGGATATTGAATATTTCATCATCCCTGCTGCACACACTTCCCCAGAGGTTTTCTTTTCCCCCCACTACAATAAATGTGTTATTTCTGACTAAGTTCAGAGGGATGGATCAGGAAACTCTGAGAGGGTTTCAGCACCAAGATAAAAGTGAATTTTTATTTAGCACAGACAAGCAAATTAAATCCACCCTGTAGTTTTTGCAACAGGAACGTGCTCGTGCTCAGCACAGGCTGGAGAAGGAAGGGACATAAAATTCCAGTTCTGGAATGGCATTTTCCTTTAAAATCTGGATTAATTTTTTCAAAGAAGAGCTGAACTTACCACTTGGAGCAGAAGAGTAAAAATGCACCTTTTCCTAGGCCCACAGGAATCTTCAAACCCTCTAAAACCAAACCAAGCCTTAAACCTGCAACAGAAAGCTCAGGGAAATATTTTCATTTTAGAATATCAAATTTTTTAAAAAAAACCTGTAATTATTTTTTACTTACTACATGGTGAGAGAAGTCCAATGTCTGAGTGGTAACCCGGAATTAATTAAAAATTTTCAATGCAATGTGGAAAACACATTTCATTCTATTGGACCATATAAATATTCCAGTTTTGAACTGCCTTTAAAAACTTTATATAATAAAGTTTCACTTATCTGAAGCACACACCACCAAACCCAAAATACTCCCCAGATTTCTTCAGTTCTGCATATGAACAGCAGTAAAATGGTACCAAATTTCTCCAAAATCTTCTTTTTGGGATGATGTCCTTGGAGAATCCCAGCACAGCCTCATCCCAGGAATGTCTGGCACATCCTGACCCCCAAACCCACCCCCTCAGCCACCTGCCTCTCCCTCAACTGCTGAAAATTAATTACATTTAGCCCTCTAATTAACTGCAAGCCACTTAATTGGATAAGCAGAGCATGGATAACAGCTTAGTCCACATCCACAAGGACTGCTCCATCCCAGGGGTGGGAACAAATTCCCAGGACAGCTCAGAGTGAACAGGAGACACCTCATTCATTGCTATATTTAAACAATAAATTAAATAAAATAGAAAGTGAGGGGGTTTGGGGTGGTCTGACACTGCTCCAGTCATCAGTTCTGGGGATTTGTGGGGGGAAAAGCAAAAGGAATGGAAAATTCAGGTCCTGAGAACTCATTCCTGTCATTCTTACTTCAAACAGCCCCAAACCCTGGCTGTAGGAAGAGAAACTCCAGAGATTTCTACACTCAACAGTTTTGGGGACAAAAATCAGCTTTATTTTCTTGCCACACTCAGCCCTTCCAGTGTAGGTGAAAGCTTCTGAAGTTAGTATTTTCCAAATTCAGATTATTTTGGCTTGAACTCTTCCCCCACCTGAGAGCAGGATGAAAATGAGACAAAACCACACCGAGTACAGATGCAGACATGGAGCACACAGACTGATGGACAGGGCTGGAGGAAACAAAACTGCACCTGAAAGCACTTTAAAGATGCACATTCTTGGATTGGTTAGTAAGAAACAGAGGTCACAGACAGAGCTCCCACTTTCTCCTCCTCCTCAAAGGAAGCACAACCAGAACCTCTGGGAGCAGCTGGAGGAGTTTTTATGCAGTTCTGCTTGTTTGGGCAGAGCTAAGAGGGAACAACCTTGGCTCCAACTAATCCTGGGGAAAACCAACCCAAACAAGCAGCTTGAACTGCAGATTGCCAAATTAATTCCATTTACCTGCAGGAATCACAGCCCCTGGGGCTGAGGGAACAGGTGATTGCCACACTTTTCCCTGATTTCAGGTATTTACACTGTGCTCTGGAAGGACAAAATCCCATTTTCTAAGCAAGGGTTTTTACAAGTGACACAAGTAGAGTCATCAGGGTCCAGATCACCTTGTTAGTGCCACACATCAGGATTTTCTGTCCTTGGGAGGGAAGGGTTAAACATGAGCTCACTAAAACCAGTCAGAAATCCTCTGTATTCAGAATTCCATAAATTTAACCCAAACCTCAACACTAACTAGAAAATTACCAAATTTCTGTCACTGTGTGACTACACAGATGAAAGGAGCTCCAGTAGACAGATTCAAGAATCTGATGAAATGGATCCTTAAACTATTTCCCAATTTTCTGAGAGCTTTTTGGTCCCATTCTTGCCCACTACAGTCAGGAGAAATAAGCTCTTGGCACAAAGTTATTGCAGCTCCTTGCAGGTGAAGCTTTACCAAACAGAACAGCACATCTTTAAAGTGGATTAGTTCTTGGAGGGGATGAAGTGTCACACCAACAAAAGTACACATGAAATAAAAAAGAAATCAGTTAATGATTTTTATTAAATTTCAGTGTTTCATAAAATAAATATGGTTTATAATATCAAACAGTGAGAAATAAAGCACAAGCATGAAAAGCATGGTAACAAAAGTTACACTCATGACGGTGTTTAATACTTAGCACTTTAGAAATCATAAAGCCTTTAATTATTTACAAGCAGCAAACTATCTAACATAATTTACAAAGTTGCAGCAGCCTAGTCAGGGAGTCCTGGGAGGGGAAAAACACGGAGAGACTGCACTGGAAGACCTTCACTCCACTCTACCTACCCAGCACTTCATCCCATCCCCTAATTCCCCCTATGTACAATAACTCTGCACCTTCCATCATCTCCAAGGTCAATAATTACACTGGATTTAGAGCTCAGTTTCTCTCGAGGACAGGGCAGGACCTTCTGCACTCAAGAGACACAAATTCAAGTAACACTTCAAAGAAAAGTAAACATGTGCAAACCCAAGTCAGAACCTACAGGAGCTGCAGGTAATAAGTGTCAAACCCACGGAGCAGGAGCTCGTTAGCAGATTAAATTAATTAGGGAATAGCTACAGAAACCTACTTGGGAACCAGCTGGGGCCAAGAATGAGACATGGGAGTGGTTAAAAAAAAAAAGAAAAGGAACTGCAAATATACCCTGTTACCACAGACAAAAATTTAATCTGCCAAAACACAAAGACTTTTAAGGTCATAACTCAAGATTTAATATTTCAACATGAAAAGAAATCCAAGCCATTCGACTTATTTGGGCTTTTGAAACAAATGCAAATGTCTCTGTTTAAAAATTGCTTTCAAATGAGAAAAACAAATCAATATATATTAATTTATCACCCAAAATAAAAAAAAACATAACACACTCTTCATTGTAGAGCATGCTGCTCATTCAGAATAAAGACAGGACAAAGAAAGTAGAATTACATTTCATGATGTAATAAAAACATTAAAATCTGTGATCGTTAAGTGCACCATCGTACAGGAGTAGCGTGCTCAGAGTGGAAATGTTCTATACCTACCAGCATTGACCTTTATTAAAGCAAACAAATCTTTAGGACACTACCTGAAACTGAAATCAGTAATCACTGGGCTCCGTTCAGCTTGCCTTAAGTTTCAGTCAGGCACATTCCAGCCAGTAGCACCTGTTATGCCTCTTCATGATTGTATTCCAGAGATCTTTACATCTGTGAACAATTTTTTATATATTTTTTTTAGAAAAAGACTGGCTTTTGCGATCCTTGCAATGCTTATCTGACACAGATCCTGCAAGTAAACTCTGTTCTGAGCAGCACAAGTTGGGGCTTTTTTTCAGAAATCTGAGAGCTGGACTTACGTTGGCAGTAGGTACAGTACAACAACTGGATGTATTCAACAGTTCCTCAAAAAGGTCTGAAAGGAAGATTTCCCTAAAGACTGATTAAAAAACCAAACCAAACCCAAAGCACTTCACCCAAGATCTGTTCAATCCTTCTACCCAAGTTCGGAGCTTGCCAACT